TAGGTATATTATTTTTATGTTCTATGATTGTCAAAGAAAGGAAATACAATAGCACAGAAAATAGAAAAATGAAAGTAAACACTTGCTGAAACAAGGAGCGTGTTGCAGTTATGATACAGGTAGAGCTAGACGTTTCTGTATTCTGGGCAAATATTTCTCAGTTTTTCTGTGCCAGATTAATTTTGTGTTTTAAACTTAAATACTGATGCATATAGTACAGTTTTATATTCCAGCTTTTGTTAATAATAAGTACAGAATAAAGGACTATACAGAATCTAGTTCTTAACATAGTCTTTCACTAAAGGTTCAGTGAAAGAGTTTATTTTCTCTGAAACTCTAAGTATACAAATTTACTATACTTTTCTTGTAGTAGAAGGAGAAAAAAAAAAAAACAAACTTAATTTATTGCCACTTTTAAGATTTTCTTATAGCATGGCTCATGGGTGATGCCATTATCTTTCAGTATCAGGAGGCCAACCATGTTCTACAACTTGTCTGCTTTTCCAAGGGAGGTAATAAATTAATCAAGGCCCTTAGATGCTATGATATTATGTGATTTTTTTTTGTTGTTGTTGTTATAGCATTCACAGCTCTAGAATAAAAATTTCATAGAACTGTCTGATAATAGTAAGGAGTAATGTACCGAAACTCATTAAGACTTAAGGAATTTTTATGCCTGAACCTACATGGCTACTAAAAAAATAGATCAGAGTGAAATTACATAGTAGCTACTTAACAAAAATAAGGAGTTGACATAAAAGTTATTTACCCCTGTGTGTTTTGGATCAGGATTGACAAATTTCTTGCATATGTTTAAAATAGATTTGTTCCTTTCTCCCATGTGATCCTTTAAGGAACACTTACACATTCTCTTTGAACCCTTTTGCTTCACCTGTGAAATTCTCTCTTAAGATTGTGTGAACCATAACTGATTTTTGGGGAGTGATGGAATAACCCAAGGACTGTGTTTTAAGTAATGACTGTTAGACAGTAGAGAACTAGAAACATACACAGAATATAGCTGCAAGGTAACTAATAGATCTTAGTATCTGTGTTTGTAAGGCGGAATTAAGATGACAAGCCTGTGATTCATTAAAGGCTGTAGAGTGAGTCAGTATCAGAGACAGTATTTCTTTATATAAAAACTAGAGTTGTGTATTGTTTAATAAATAGCAATAGCTGATCTCAAAGCTGTCTTTGTTCTGTCCCTTTCTGAACTCTAACATATTTCTTCAAAGGAAGGCTTTGCCCCATTGAGCTTTTGCCCATGTCAATAGCAGCTGAATCCCAAACTCGCTGCATTCCTTTGCAAATGCCCCCTCAAGCCTGTTCCTCTTTTCCAATATCTTGACAGGTCTGTGTAAAAACCGTTAAAATAATACTAATCACATGCAACACTTACAAAATTGGTAAATGAATTGTTAATCTTTATTGTCATTTTCACTTAACTAAGACTGAAATAACATGAAATGTGATATTCTCTGGTCTTTTTCCCTCTCTGAGTGTTCCTGTTTGTGTGTGATGGATATCTGTTATTACCTTATTTTCACAGGACTCTTGGCATTGGGAGTCAAGGAGGGGAGATGACTCTGAACAAAAGAAGAAATAACTTTACTTACATAGTTAATTTCTTTAATTCATCATGAATTAGAAGATCAGTTTACAGGCAGTGATAAATGGATCTCTAAGCACCTTCCTGGTGCCTCTGGGTTTTTTTGTCTCTCTGGAGATCACCTTTATTCTCATCACTGAAGATAACAACCTTTTTTCACACCACTGCAAAGATGTTAAAACCCAGTAACAGCAGTCTCAGAGCACATGGAGCAGTGCTAAGTTTCAAAATGATTAAAAAAAAAGAAAAAAAAAGGGGGTGAGGGGACAGGGAGACCCTGCCCCGCCAACCTCTAACCTAAAATAAACCTTTCTAAACTTATAATGTAAAATTTAGATGGCTCTTTCTTCATTAAACAGCATTCCCTTAACTAGCAATTTTACAAGTCTAAAACAGGTGCAATGTGTCATGCAATTTATGGATCCTAGTACCTGCCATAAAGTATTTTATGATAGCTGCATTCTGTGTTATTAGTAGCTGTCTTTTTCTGCAGCCATTGGTGTTTGATAATAGTCTTAAAACACCCAAAATTACTTACCTGCAAGCAACATTCCAGATAGTCCGTGTTGACAGTTTGAATAAGTTTAGTGCCCTTTTGTTGTACTTTACCTTCAAAACAAACTGATTGAACCATCAATAGCTCCTGAAAGCTGACAGAGGCATGTCATCTGGTCTAACCCTCTGATAGTAGGTTATCTGTGGGAGTTAACCTTCCTGCATTGTTAACTGAAATGTTTTATGTACTATGCAACTTTAGGATACTGCTGTGATAACCTTAGTAACTAAGTCATACATCACAGTAAAGAGATTTTGTGCAACAAATAACCCTGGATTAAATTTACAAGGGTTGAATTGATATTGTAAAGTGTTCATTCCAGGGCTTTGGTAATCCTTTCCTGTATTTTTTATGGCAAACTTGTGTTACATTTAGATTGAAGCTGCATCTTCATATTTCTAGCTAAAATATATCCAGGAAGCCCAATATTTTTCTTCAGCCATTTAGTAAAAAAGGTATCATATTATTTTCATATAATACAGATTAATTTTATCCCACATTTAGTCAAAGGAATATGTAATCCTAATAAATAGGATTGTATTTTGAATCACCTTTTAAAAGACATTGATATACCTTTGTTCTACTGGTGGGATAACCTTTATGGTACTTACTTTTTAATATTTGCTCTCCTTAAGGAGTGCAAGTTTAAAAAAAAAAAAAAATCAACCCCCAACATGTGTAGTTTTGGAATTGGCAAGTACTGGTGCTAATTCTGTTTTTTGAAGTGCAGTCAGGATGGCTTAAAAATACAAAAATACATTTGTATCAAGGAATGCTATTATAATTTTAAGCTCTTTTGAAATGATTGAGAGACTGACATTAGGGCTGTGATCCAAAGTCAGCATAGATGACAGTGCTGTCTTAGTCTGTTGTCATTTTTGTTGCAGCCTGCTTTTCAATAGCATATTTCATTCCATCATTAAACATTTGCTGATTTTCTAATACCGATGTTTTCTTCACCTGAATATTCATCTTTTCTCACCCTACACTTAGTGGGTGTCTTTACTCATTTTTAGTTTCACTCTTCTTCACTCTTGACATATTGTTTCCTTCTGTACATGTCTTCATTTGAAAGAATCTGTTGTCATCAGAGTTTTTCTGCCAGTAACGCAAGATGGATAGCTTCTCTTCCACTGAAAGATAAGGGCCAGCAAAATGCCAGGGAGGACTGGAAGGGCAGCCAGGAAAGCTGGGAGGAGTCTGAGAATGTGTCAGTCTGCTAGATCTGTAGCTGTTATTTAATAAATGGTCTCAGGAGATGTTCTGTTTTGTAAAGTGACTTTTTTCTTCTTCTAATATCATTGAAAATCACAGATTGAGGATTCACATTTAAATTGTCTGAGCATTTCAGTATTAGCATGTTCAGCTCATTTGTTAACGATTTATGAAGCTGTTGCCTCAGAGGAAAGGTGTACTTCATGGAAAGGTTTCTTTGCAGCATTAAATTTTGCCTGGTTGTAGAACGGGAGTCTTGTAGTCTTTTTCACATGTTTATCTGGTCTTCAGAACAGTATTATAAGATAACTCTAAATCTTACCTTTTAAAGCACATTTTTTGTGTGTTGTTCTTTTTCAAAATGTTATGTTATATAGAGTTTTCTACTACTTCAATTTCTTCCTCCCAGTGTCAGAAGGGATTGGTATGATTAGGAGGCTCTCTGACTGGAGTTTTATGCAAAGCAGCTAGGCAGGGGGAACATTATCAATCACCTTTCTACCCCCTGCCAGGAAAAGTCTGGCACTTCCCTTGCTTTGCAATGTCTGCTTCACATTTGGTTGACTAAATGTAAATAGCACGTACTTGAGGTGGTGAGATATTTTGATTTGCCATGGTTGTGTGCCTTACTTTGTTTCTGATCTGCCATGTTCTGTCCCTCTGCAAGCAAGGAGCGAATGGTAATTTTTTGAGGCTAAAAAGCTGCTGTACTTTGAGTAAAAAGGATAAATAGAATACAGTACTAATGGATCCTAACAAGAACTTTGAATTCTTAAAATATTTTTCATAAAAGCAGTCTCTTCCTGTGTGCTTGTGCATTTAATCCTGAGCTGGGATCCATATACCATAAGGACACCTTGTCTCTCTGGCAGGACCAAACTGGAATTCTCCTTCCAAATGATGCCTGTGTCAAAATATAGTCCTGGAAAGCGGAGACCAGGAATAACTCTCCATGCTTTCTCTTGACAAATTCTTTTTCTTTAATGTTAAGAGTTTTGAACACTGACATACACTCCTTTCAAGACAAAGGATGGTGTTTTAGGATGTATGGTAGCAAACAAATTACACTCCTCCCTAACTTGCTGTTCACATGTCTCTAACATTGCTGATCACTGTGTTTTTAGGAAAATATAATAAAAATCTGAAGAGGTGTTGGCAAATTAATGTTTTCTGAGAATTCTTTCAGAGAAGATAGATGACAGTTTCCCATGTTCTCAGATTGTTTTTCCCCTGCAACGTAGGATGGAATCTTTGGAATCACTCAAAAGTCCTTTTTCCAAACTGGCAATTCAAAACAATTTCCAACTTATTCCATTTCTGTGTGTACCATATACCTCACTAATACCTATAAAGAACATACATGCCCATGGTGATAATTTTCTTATCTGTTTGATCCACCCAGTATTAAATTGTTAAATTATTAAATTAAAGCTTCATTTGAGAGATTAAAGTAAGTATAATAACTTATTATATAAACTATGTTGCATGAAAAAGGTGATGAGAGAGAGGAAAAAAAGGCTGTTGATGTTTATTGCTGTTATTTTTTAGTCATTTAGTCTGTGAGTATGTCTTTGTTTATTACTGGATTTTAACTGTGTACATTTTGCTATCTGTCAGGTATTTTGTCCTGCACAAATTGACAAACCTGAAATTTCTTGATACTCGGAAAGTAACCAGGAGGGAGAGAGAGGAAGCCTTGGTAAGAGGTGCCTTCATGAAAGTGGTTAAGCCCAAGGATGCTAAGGTAGGAGAGTAAATGGAAGAAGTAACAACAATGTGAGTCATTAACACTGTTTTAAAATTACTCCAAAAGCTTGGCTGTGTCTTTTGCTAAAGCAACAGACAAAACCTTTCAAATGAAAGGACTGCTAAATGTGGTCAGGTGAGGGACAAAAGCCTTAGTAATTTTTCTGTGGTTTAATATCAAACTTTACCTCTGGTTAATGGACTATGGTTATGTTATCAAATTTCTGGTTTTCAACCTCTTGTTTCATATAACAAACTAACTAATATGTGTCACTGAGCTTAAAAGAATATTTTTACCCTGTCTAAAGATATGTAACAAATGTGTGATATGCTTTTGTGAAAGAACGCAATTTTTCTGACAAGTTGTCCCCTGCCTTGTATGTTAAACACAAATGTTTTGCAGAGCTCACACCTATGGCTTTTAGTGGACTAGCTGATTCTAATTTTGTATGATGTTACTTAACGTGGTGTCCTGCTAATAGCCATTGACAACATCAGAGAGACAGTTTCAGTAATCTGAGCTTTTGATACCACTTGCATCAACTCTGGGCATATTGCATACTGCTGATGCAAACAGAATGTGAATTCTCCACTTTACCTTCTTTTTCCATTGTTGATCAGTCCACAATAACAGCAATCTGAGCTTCAGAGTGTTTTAGTGCTGCAGATCTTTTTTACTCCACTCAAGTTTTCAGTCTGCTTGCTTTCTGTTTGCTGTTTTGTTCTCTAAAATATACCATCAATAATTTATTGCATATTTCCAATAATGCTGAATAATAATGTAGCAGTTATGGAAATGCACTGTTTGGTAGCATAACAGTGTTGCTAGATAAATGCATTATCACAAGTACAATTGCAGTGCATAACAAATTAATTCAGACTGATTCATTTATAACTACTAAAATGTTAGCAGTTCTGATACAAGCATAGCTTTGATATATTGTTTACCACTGCCTTTAGTTATTTCAGCTCCATATATGTAATAAATGAAATAATTTATTTCTAAGCTGTTGTGGATATCTTATTCACAGCAAACCATCTTTACTGAATCTGGCCAAATGCAACAGCTGAAATGTGTTAGAAATAGCATACATATTTTGTCATCTTTTATAATTCTTCTTATTTAATCAGATTTTGGATCTGGTGAAGTGTTTTTTTTAATTTAATTAGCAATTAGATTTTTCATTTAAGAGACTGCTCTTTGAATTTTAACCAACTTAATAGTGTAAGAGAAGAAAAAAAGTGTCTGTTTCTTAAATCTGAAGTTCCTTTTCTGGATGAAACCTCTTTTTAAGCCAATAGCTAAGGGTAAATTACTTCACAAATGTAGGGATAACATCTTTATCTTTTATATCCATAATTGAACCTTTTGTATAGTTTTGAATTATTTACCCACTAAATCTTATGATAAAACATACATTTATTTCAGCAAATTTGCAGAAGGCTCAAATTTACTGTTGTTATTGCCATACTAAAGGGTTTTTTTTCTTTATAAATGGTTTGGTACAAATTGCTGATGGTAAAATCATTGTAAATGCTTTTCATGGCATGAATTAATGCTTCTTAAGGTGCTACAAAATTACTCTCATCATACAATACTATATATATTACAGAAGTGGCTAATTCAAAATAAATATTAAATTGGATGCAGAACAGATATTATAACCCTCTTAAAATTGTTTTGAATTTGTGCTTGTTTCCTAGGATATTCATGCTTATAGTACACATGTGTGCAAACTCTTTTTATGTCTGAGAACACTCATGAGAGTCCTTTCTGCATATGTTTTCAGATGCAGATATGTACGTATATAGCTATTTGCAGCTATACTCAAAGACCATAACAAGCAGCATTCCTCTATATATCACAAAGATGATGTGCACGATAACTGTACATTCAAATTCTATTGTATGTTATAAATTGAATACATAATGCTTTTTTATTCTTCAGTGTTCAGGTTTCCTGAGTCTTGTGCTCTCTGTCTGTTCATCGGTTCCCCTCCCATATACTTGTTGCGATTTTTGACCAGCTTCAGCCAAATTTAGTAGACAGCTAGTGGTAATATATTCTAAGCTTTCTGAAACTAGTTAGAGGAGAATACATCGTGATCCAAACTAAGAGGAAGACTACAGCACATCCAGTATTGGTCATCAGAAAAACTCCTTAAGAAGTTGACCTAGTGATATAAGACCCTGCTGATAGTGAACTTCCTAAGAATTTTTTTTTTTCCTTCCCTCTAAGGTAGTAGCCACTGTGTCAGCCAATGCTTGCCAGGAATGGAGTTGGAGTGATTAGTATTTATCTTGGTGGTTGCCACATGGAAATGTTGTTCTTCTAGGTGTAGTAATGACAGTGACCCTATCAGACTTGCTTTTTCAGGAGAAAAACAAACAAACCAACCAAAAAACCCCCCCCCAAAATCCTAAGTTAGGTGCGTTTTTTTTTCCCCATTATGATATGTTGTCTACTTGGACTTTAGTAAGGCCTTTGACACTGTCTGCCACAGCATTCTCCTGGAGAAGCTGGCTGCTCAGGGCTTGGATGGGTGCACTGTACGCTGGGTTAAAAACTGGCTGGACGGCCGAGCCCAGAGAGTGGTGGTAAATGGAGTCAAATCCAGTTGGCGGCCGGTCACGAGTGGTGTTCCCCAGGGCTCAGTGTTGGGGCTGGTCCTGTTCAACATCTTCATTGATGATCTGGATGAGGGGATTGAGTGCACCCTCAGTAAGTTTGCAGATGACACCAAGTTGGGTGGAAGTGTCAATCTGCTGGAGGATAGGATGGCCCTACAGAGGGACCTGGACAGGCTGGACCGTTGGGCCGGGGCCAACTGCATGAACTTCAACAAGCTAAGTGCTAGGTCCTGCACTTGGGTCACAACAACCCGTATGAGGAATAGTGTGGCCAGCAGGACCAGGGAGGTGATAGTGCCCCTGTACTCGGCACTGGTGAGGCCGCACCTCGAGTACTGTGTTCAGTTTTGGGCCCCTCACTACAAGAAGGACGTCGAGGTGCTGGCGCGTGTCCAGAGGAGGGCAATGAAGTTGGTGAAGGGTCTAGAGCATAAGTCTTATGAGGAGAGGCTGAGGGAGCTGGGGTTGTTTAGTCTGAAAAAGAGGAGGCTGGGGGGAGACCCTATTGCTCTCTGCAACTACCTGAAAAGAGGTTGTAGTGAGGTGGGCGTCAGTCTCTTCTCCCTAGTAACAAGCGATAGGATGAGAGGAAATGGCCTCAAGCTGTGCCAGGGGAAGTTTAGGTTGGATATTAGGAAAAACTTCTTCACCGAGAGGGTGGTCAGACATTGGAACAGGCTGCCCAGGGAAGTGGTTGAGTCTCCATCCCTGGAGGAGGTATTTAAATAACAGATAGATGTGGTGCTCGAGGACATGGTATAGTGATGGACTTGGCAGTGATAGGTTAATGGTTGGACTCGATGATCTTAAGGGTCTTTTCCAACCTCAACGATTCTATGATTCTATGATAAGCAGGAGATAGTACAGCTTATTCAGCATAAAAAGCAGACTGATGATCTGAAGAGGCTGTGATGTGGGGAGTTGTTTTCATTTTAGTCTTGACATGAAATATTTGGGAGAGCAAAATACCCCACCAAGAAAAAATACACAAAATGAGAATAAAAGCAAGAAATTTCCATCTGACTAGCTTGTGTTTATTCAAATGCAAAAGTATCTAGCAATCACCAGTCATCACTAAGTCATAAATATTTTACTTTGTATAAATTTTTTTACTTTCATTTTTCCCTCTTTTTTTTTTTTTTTTTTTTTTTTTCAACAGAACACTGCACTTGTGCTTTGCTTCATTTCATCCTTTGTTTAAAATGCATCTGTTTGTGATGTGACTGTCTTATGGAAAGATGCAGTCATTTATTAGAAAACAGTTTAATGTTACAATGCAGTGTTCCATCTCGCTATGTAAGTGAGCTAAACTTCATTATTCTGTGATGTTTATGTTTTCTTTTGTCAAAATATTGAACATTGTATCATGCCTGATTTTAATAAAGATTGGGTAAGCCTGGCTGGGTAAGAGGCATTGAGCCAGACGAGGAAACCTTGTTTAATGACCAGACCATGACCTCATTTCACTGGCATAAGTGTAGATCAAAGTGGAAGATGCCTGTCCAGTGTGAAGTGTGTTTCTGGGCATGACAGCACTTCACATCAGAAAGACAGCTCAAGAATACGACAGTCAAAATTGCTTAATTATGTCCCAGCTTTGTAATTATTCATCCCTGCTTCTACAAAGACTACAGTTGTCATTTCTTGACATAATTATTTAAAACTGTACCCTTCTTTGGTTTATAGGTATATGAATTGTGCTTCCACCTGTTTCATCTTTAAAACTTAGAGATGCAAAACAGAATGTGATTTGAGAATACATTTCAAGACTCTATATTTTTACATTTCATATAATATAAATAAACAAAATGAAATTATGATGTATCAAAGCACACCATAATTTCATATTTTAAAGGTCTATATTCATGATCATTTAATCTAGATGATAAAATGTGGATATATCTATTGTATCTAAAGTGTGTTGCTATGAATAGAAACACACTGTCGTAGGTCTCTTTAAATATAAATTTAATTGCCTAATACTGGGTCAATGCACCTGCTTTTATAAAATAAATATATTTCTTGGTATCTTGCAACCCCTCTGCCCAACAATTATTTTTTAGCTTACTGCATTTTTAAGGTTAACATTTTTAGCATTTTTATTTATAGTGACAAAAGCAAGCAGTGTGCATTTAGTCACATGTAACAGTCTTGCGGTTTATAAGACGAAATCATCAGCGGGTATGCATGGGTATACTTCCAAGTAACTGACTTAATATTATGTGGAGTTATTCTGCTTTCTTGCAACTTTACTGAGAGCATCTTGTCCACTGGGTATAAAGGAAACTCTGTACAACAAAAGATGGCAGTATAGGTGTTTTGAATTCCCCCTCCCCCCCACATTGTTTTCATCACAAGTTATAATTC